AACCGGCTGCCTTTGGGGAGCTGCATGCAAAGTGCCCTCTGAGCAGTGGCTGTCTGCTCCTCACCTTGTGCACTTTCCTCCACAGCAGGACGCCTGTGCCCTCCCAGCAGCAGGAGACATGCACCCAACTGCCACCCGTGCAAGCCCATGGACACATGGATTTCACCTGAAATGAGCTCAAGATCCCTCCCTGGTGCATTCAGCAAAGGCAATAGAGGCAAATAGATTAAAAAGTCCTCAAGCACTAAACATAAGCAGCTACAGAGAGGCTGTGGAAATTGGGTGCTGCAGCTACAGTGTCAGCTCCCTGCCCATTTCTGCACAGTTTCACTGAGCAGTGCTTGGCAACCCCACTGCATCCCACTGCCCATGTGTGGGCTCATGCCACAGCAGGGGCTGCCCAGCAGTCCCTAACTCACAGCATACCCTGTGCCACCTGCACAACAGCTCTTAGGAGAGCTAAAAATGAGTGGGAGAGAACAACATACAATAGTTGTATTTTTGCTTTGCATTAAGGTTTGTTTGTCAAGTAAAATTGCCTTCTCATGGGGCTTAGAGCACTGCAATGCTGGGATATTTAACTACCTGCCTTTCAAGGTTTACTCCAGCCCCTTAGTACAGTCTGAAACCATTCTGGAGATTGTTCCCTCTCCCTGAGGAGCAGCATTGCTTTAATGACATATTTACAGCCTTAATGGACGTCCTTGGTAAAGATGATAGCCCTGCTGTTAAAAATGTGCTTTGGGACAATGCTTAGACAATGATAAAATAGCTACTGGGGAGCTAGGAGTTCAGTGTAACAGTGGTGCAATTCACAGTGCACCACACGAGTTGTTTCCGCAGAATGTATGAATGCAAACACAGAAACATGAACCATTAGGAATTATTATAATCAGCATATGACTAATTCATTGGGCTATTTTGGTTTCCATTTAATTTAGAAAAGGTCTCAGGACCATATGTCACGTGGGAGAAGTGTATTACAGACCAGCATGCAAATCCCTCAGTTTTCTGGTCTAGTCTCACTGCAGTTTCTGATATCTCTGCTCATGCTGCAGAGCATACATAAGCCACGAATGAGCCCAACTCTTTCCTATGAAATCCTGTTCCAGACTGTCCTCCTCCCTATGGAAAGCCCTCACACACACAACAGTCCCTGCTCAAATAGCTCAAGATTTGGGTCCCTTCACTAAGGAATACAGTGCTGCAGAGGAATAGTCAAATCCCAGCTTTAGATTTCCATGTAGAAAGTTGTCTCACGCACAGACAAGGTGTGGAGCCAGTTAGACTAATGTAGTGTTGAGGTTTGTGTCCGAATCTTTCACAGAGCAAAGAAATGAAATGGTCAGGTCCTCCCAGAGCCACCTACTCATCTGACTCTCACAGAGGTTTTGCAATAAATCATACTGGCACTAACGATCATCAAACTACTTAACCATGGAAAATTTCTTTAATGTTACCTCAATGCATGGTCCATTAATTAGTTCAAAGTATTGAACATTGGCCTTGCTTTCCTGCTAGGCTAGAATGACTTTGTGCCAAATCCAAACAGGAGAGTGGTGTTTAAGCCATCTCTGCAATCATGATGGGCATGAGGACCCCACATACCTGTGGGCCAACACCAGCCAGTGCTTATTTGCTGCAATGATGCTGAACAAAAGAGAAAGCATGAGGCTGCTCCAAGCTAGAGAGATCTTTGTGGTAAGAGGGAGCAGGTGCCTTTACAGATCCAAACCATCATTGCATCTCACCCAGAGGAGATCTTCAACCTTGAAGCTCGCTTGAACTGAGCCTTGGCAGTCCCAGGAACAAAAGCAGATTTGCAGCCCCTGCCTGGCCATGCTGCTCCCGCAGGTGCTGGTGCCTTGAGCACAAGCAGAGGAGAATGAGTTTTTGATGCATAACTACTCCGCTTTTTAATTTCCAGTGTATTCAGTAAAGTCTGCAAAGCTTTTACATCCTTTCCTTCTGCAGAAGTACTAGATTATTGATTCTGTACTAAAACAACAAAAAAAAAAATGTTTGGATTTCTTATGAAGAGACTGCTAATGTAGGATATCACTTGATACAGGAATAAGTTCACTGTAGTGTCAGTCACGTAACTGGCCAGTAAACCAGTGATACCCACCAAGCAAAGGTTAGAAACTACAGGTGTTTTGAACATAGCAGAAATCAAACTGAAAACAGTCGCTGAGAGGTGACTAGTTGCACACAAGAAAGAGTTGAGATGGGATGTTTTATATTCTATATTGAAAACAATGTCCAATGCTTGGAAGCTGAAGTGCACTCAGCCCTAAAATAAGCAGTAATTTCCACGCTTGGTGGGAGACTAACCACTGAAAGCGTAGGGAAGCCTTTAAAATAAGATCTTTCTGAATGGCAAGATTTCACCTGCATGCAGGGAAAACTTCCTTTGCAAGCACAGAATCACAGCAGCCTTGCTGCATCCCAGGAGAAATGCTGCACACAGCAGACAGAAGAGAAGAAATCAAGCATCACTAGAAACCCCCTGAGCAGGTCAAAAAGAGAGGTAAAGTGAGGAAGGAAGGGACTGAGATCTCCTGATCTCAGGCTTTCCCATGTCACACCTTTTCTCCAAGGCACTGGGATGTTAATGATGCAGAGTCTCCACACGAGCTTGAGGTCACCACATTGGCAGAAGAACACGGGGTCCACCCAGCTCTGCCCCACAGCAGCCTGGCTCCCTGGGGAAGCTGAGTCTCTGGAAATCACTGAAACTTCAAAAAATGGTGGATGATAACCTTAATCCACAGCCAGGAAGAGCTGCAGCATTGATTTTAATGAAAGCAGAATTAGATCAACTCCAGCTACGAGGCAAAAATCTTCCCCAATAATTGTTGTTATAATGTAAATTCCTATGGCACCAGCCACCAACATATTGTTAACCATTTCTATATAGGAGTTCACTAAAATGGCAAAAATCCTGCAAGGGATGAAGCATTCTTTCCTCCCAGTACAGAGCAGTAAATAAGGATGTGAGAGTTGAAAGGACTCACCCTTAGTCTTCCTGAGCATTGCAGCAAAGCAACATGTGCTCAGCTCCATCCCTTGCATGGGAACAGAGTCAGCCCCTTGCATTGTTCCTAGGGCCAGGCTGGGGAAATACAGGGCACGTTGTTAAAAAAGGGAATAATAGCTCCTACCTTATAACAACTCTCATCTCTTTTTTTAAATGTCTAGGGGATCGGGTGTGACACTGAAGCAATATAGATGGGAGGAGAAATTAAAAAAACCTCATGACTGTAAAGTGTTGAGGATTAGCCAATTATACATTCAGGAAGCTGTGTTAATTAGAAGCCTTTCAAGAGAAGAGTCAAAGGACTTTGCACACACAGATGGAAATGGATTTTGACAAGCAGTGATAAGTCCCAGTGTTGGAGAGGCATCAGCAACCCAACATCCTCTGCTGGCAGCTCCCCTTATGACAGGGGAGGGCTCCAGCCAAGCCTGCGCTACACCAGGGCCAGCAGCCACCCAGCACCAACCGAGCACAAGCAATTAGTCAGATTGATTTTGGGGGGAATATTAGGATATCAAAATTAGTAACAGTGTAGCCGGAACTGGTAAAGGATTATTCCCTACATAACAGTCATAGCTCTTTGTAAGACCCCAAAAGCACCTGGGTCATCTGATCGCTCAGAAGTGGCCCCTCACCTGTGGCTCAGGGAGGAGGAATTACTTTTTCCTTTTTCTTAATGATGATGTGTAATGCAGCAGCTTTATGCACTAGTCAACAGAGACCCAGGCTGTTTAAAAAGATTGGATAATAGCTCACACCTGAAGCAGGTTTTTTTTTTTCCCCAGGCAGAGGGAAGTGCAGAGTAGAGTGTGGAACAAGTCACAATTAATCTGCTTGTTCTTTATGTATGGTTATGCTAATCTCCTTTCCTGCTTCAGCCAGGGAAGCTCAGAACATGGATGTGGATTTTTGTTTATGAGCATTGAAATGGGTTCCTTGAAGTATTACAGGTGCCTTCTCAAAAATGGCACATGAAAACCATTTAAGAATTACCCCCCCCAAAAAAAAATCTAAGAGACTGACCAAAGCTGTTTTAGTTCATCCCAAAATGAGCACTGACTTTGAGGTAATTCTTGAGGTTTATTGCATTAACCAAGAAAACCAGGTGATGTAAAATGAAAGAGCCTATATTACCTGTGCAGGCAAAAGTGCCTTCTCAGCAGACACTTGTTCACTCTGTGCCTGACCTAGACCATTATTTTCCCTTCCCTGAGATGCACTTCATGAGGAATACTGTAGGGAGCAGACATCAGTTTTGGTGAATTGTACTGCATAGGGCTGCGAGTTGGAAATAAGCATTACAAACACCGAGCTGTGACAGATGTAGTAACATCCTGCTCACACATGCTCCTCATCTTAAACAGGTTTGCAACATGGAGAAAAGTGTTCCTAAGAAGCATCAGAGGGAGAAAGCTGCCCAGCAACCACAAGCACAGGAGATGCAGTCTCAGCCCAAAGTCTGCTGACCAGTGCCCCAGCCTGTCCTTGCCAGCAGCTTGTTTGTGGAGTGACACACCAGCAATAAGTAGACATGAGTTTTTGACACAATAAACCTTAGAAATCTGAGCAGGAGCTGCCAGACACCCCTGGAGCACAAGCACTCTGAGTAATAAACCTTACAATAAGCCTTGGTGTGATGCTCAGGACAGGGCACAAAGGCTGAGCATGGTTATAGGCCCATCTCCTATGGCAGCTGGGGTGAGATAGCTGCATTTTGTCACTCCATGTCCCTTGACACCCCATGCAGCGCACCCAGCTCCACCAGCCTGCCTTACAGGGCTTGAGGGGTAGTGAGTGATTCACAGGGGCTCAGACTGTCAGCACCCACAAGCGTGAACTAGGGTCTGTCTTGGAGTTCAATCACTTCATGAAAATATAACTTTCTATATTTCATTAGGACCTTTCCCATCTGTTAAACATCATCCCAGAGAGTTTAGTGACACTTTAAATGAAGCTGTTGTTTTAGATGTAATTGGACAGCTGTTTTATTATGAATTAATGAACTATGATAATTAAAAAGAATCTAGTTTTAGCAAACCATGTATTAACAATTACTCCTGACTAAAACCACAACTAAGCAAGTGCTAGAGAATTCCCATGACAATGACTGGAAGCAGAAGATGCAAAAGCAAAACCAGTGAGGTGCAGGACAAGAGGTGCCTCCAGACCAGGCTCCCTTCACCATGCACAGGCTCCCCAGGCTGCCCCACAGCAACCAAACCATTCCATGTGCCCATGCTGCCGCTCCACATCACCACCATCTCCTCTGGCCCAAAGCCTCTTTTGGCCCAAATCAGTCAGAGTCTGCTCACACTCCATCTTTTCAGCCCTTCTTCATCCTCATGTCCCCGCTTTCCTCCAGCCAGGGGATCCCACAAGGGGCTGGGGAGGAAGAGGGGACAGCAATGGCAGCAGACTCAGAGGTAGAGACAATCTACCTCTTTGTGGTTGCAGAACATATTTCAGACTCCTTTTCCCCCTGTCCCGGGTCACTTTGGCCAAGACTGTTTGCCCTAGAGGCGTTGCACAGAATGGGATGCTCTCTGGTGTAGGGCTGCATCCTTCCTGGCTGCGAGGAGACAGCCCCACAGCCACGCTGAGCATCAGCAGCACCACAAAAAGCTGATCCTGAGCTGGGGAGTCCTGCATTCACGCTTCCCCCACTTTCCAGTTTAGAAGAGGTTTCTGTATTTCAGCTGAACCCAGTGCCAAAGAACAGAGGCCGCAGAGAGCAGTTGTTGGAGTTTCCATAGGAGTTTCCCAGTTCACACAGAGCAGATTTTAAGGAGTGAAGTCTTTGTCCTGAGAGAGTTTCAATGAAAAAAGCTCTGATGAGTTAAATGAAGACAAGTACATATGCTACGTGTGCAAATCAGTTATCTCCCATTGTTAAAATAAATCTGTTCCAAATCATTGTGGCTTCCCAACAGCTATCTCCTGATCTTTCTCCACTTCAGCCTTCCACTTGGCCTTCTTTTCTATGTTCGCTCTCAGCAACGTGTGATCCTTTTTAGCAGCCTTGAAAAGAAATGGTGAAAATCACTACACGCACACATTTCCCACCACTAAATTTCCTCACATCCGCACCACTTGCTTTGACACTCCACTGTTCTTTTTGATATTTTGCAGTGACAGAAGTCAATGTGTTTCCTTGCTTTACCAAATTTTCAGTATTTGCAGCTCTGATTAGCAGGAAAATTACACTGTAAATTGTTTATGGGTACAGTGGGATGTGCTAGTCAGGCTGGAGACCCTCCTTCCCTGCCAGCGGGAGGGGAAGAAGCGAGTGTCACAGCTCTTGGTGACCATGGTGTCACTCAGGCTAGGCGAGCAGGACCACGGGAGCCTTGTGACCTGGGGATACAGGGCAGGAGCAGGCACCGTTGGCATTGCCTGAGCTACTCCACTACCTTTGGACCCACTTCTTGTTGAGATACGATGATACAGAGCATTGCGTTGCACGAATTTATGGCAAAGTGGGTCAGAAGGAACACATTAACGGCCAAGTTGTGCTTCCCCATGCCAATCTCTCCTCCAGAGAACAGGGTGTTACAGATCTCGTGCAAATATTGCTTATACGGACTTATTCTCAAACCTATCTGCCACCCTAGCACTTATTTACAAAGAGAGCATACATAGACCATAACATTAAGTGGAACAGTTCATTTCACCCAGAAACAATACTCACCTCTTTGCCTGTGATTACCATGGCCAAACAGCCCAGCAAGGTCAGTGCAATCATGATGTAGCAAACCTTTATCCTGACGCTGTTTCTTGCTGCATCGAGGACCTCAGACCTGTGGAAGGCAGAGAAGAGTTTCCATTCTGAAGCAGCATGTGTGAAATGAGATCATGGGGAGCTGGGCGATGAACCATCAAGTCTTCCACCAACTGCCCATTAATGTACAATGTGTTTCAATGTCCTCTTTTTGCAGGTATGTAGAGGAGGACTCAAAAAATTAGCCAATGGGGAAAAGATTTAGCCACCCTCCCATGCAGGTGGGGCATCGCTATTTCAGTCATTAGTAACAACAGGAATAACAAATCCTGCACTCCTGACTTCTTTAATTGCATATGAGAGTGAACACTTGAAAAATGACAAGAATAGGGAAGTCTTTCCATCATGATGATGGAATTACGAGGGGCCCACCTGTGGGTGCTGCAGGGCTGCACAACACCAGGAGACGCCGGGGCCGTGGCACCAGGGCCAAGCAGCGGGACCATCAGGGGAATGAACACACACGCATGACATTCTGGCTAAGAGCAACGCAGAGTTTTCACACAGCAAAGAGGCACAGCAAGTGGTGAGCGGGTGGGTGTGTGGCCACATCCCCGCCCCAGCTGCACGTGGTGCTTGGTAGCCCTGTTCCGCTGCAGCGTAGCCCTCTGCTAGGCAGCTGGCACCAGCCCCACGGGCACCTGCCTGCAGCGGGAGGTCGAGCTGGGTCGGAGCAGACGAGCACACCATCCATGAGGACTTGTCTTCCCAAGCAGCTGAACAGTCGCAGGGAAATCACCACCTTCCATGAGTGACTCACGGCATTTATCCGACAATTCATGCTTGCAAGCAGTTGCAGCGCGGCAGTGAGTCACTCGTGAAATCATACCCAGCCATGGATTTACTTACACCTGCAAGGGGAAGGCTGGCTGGAGGAGCCCCCAGAATGTCGCAAGCCAGGAAGCCTTAGCTCTCCAAAACTGCATGACAATCCTTTAACTAAATACCTTTACAAGGAGGTGAAACCATAGCCCAGATTTGAGGAACACATTGCAGACCTCTGCCACCAAAGCTGTATATAGCCCCAACCTCTTTTTGAAATTTATGCAGCATTATTAATAGCTAATCAATAAGAACCAGCAAAGCATGGAAATATCCAAAGCGGATGATATTTTACCATGATGACTTCTGAGTTACAAAGCCACTTGTCTCGCAAGACACTTCAGCTTAGTCTGAAACTTAAGCTATCTGAAACAAGTGAATCTAGTTTATTTCACAGGGCATGACAAAAAGTTTATGTTCCCAAAAATTCAGATTAGTTTTGGACATCGGTAGCAGCAGGGCCCGTCAGCATGGGGGAGCGCTAACCCTCACTGTGTGAACACAACTCTGGGTAATGCAGACTGGTGTCTCAATCTGGATGTTCACACCCAAAAGCATCATTCAGACAGGTCTACTTACGATATGTACTTGGGAATGTCCTCCTTCTTTTTAAAGCGTCCTGCCCATACTAACACCTTCTTATCAAAATCTGTAGGCTTTCTCTCATTTCTGAAAGCTTTGTAACCTGTAAGAGATTTTGTAAAAGATAGTAACGAACTGATCTTAAAGAAAGGAAGAGGAAAAAAGCTGTCATTACAGGGGGAAAAGGATTAAAAATTCAGATTAGCACTTTTCTATTCTGTGACAGCCAACTGTCCCTTCTAATGTCAAAAGGACTCAGCAGCTGGTGTGAGATGCTTTGTTACATTTTCAGTTTATTTAATTTTACTTTTTTTTTTTTTTTTCTTTATTTTAGGTAGGATTTAAACTAAGAATCTCTTCTAACCTTCCTGATTAAGAGGGGAAGGAATGCAGGGCTGAAGTCACCCAAGCCCACAGCATGATCTCACCCTGCTAGCATCTTTTAAATGGCCCAACTAGTGAGTTAAGCAAACTGCCAGCAGCAGTAATAACTCCTTGACAGCATCTCATTCTAAAAGTGTTGATGGAGAGATGAGGTCTGTTAAAATACAGCCTGGTGGGAGGCAGGCAGTTGTTCTTATGCAGGCTGGGTACCACATTACTGTACTCTAATGATGACACATTACACCCCACCAGACTACCACGGTGATGCCATTAGCATGCTGTCACCCTGAGCACAATGAGAAAGAGACTCTGGCTCCTCTTGATGGAAACAAGCCCAATGACAGACCATGACAAGGGCAGTGGCAGGGAGACCCTACAAAAACAGGGAAAGCAATGACTAGCTCAAATCCTGTTTTTTGCATCGCACACCTGTACAAGTGGTCATCTCAAGGCAGCTGGGACTGCTCGCACACCCAGGTGGGTGCCCCCAAGGTGCTAACCTAGTGCCCTGTGCTTGAAAATGTGGGAATGGTGTTTAGAAATGCCCCGTGGTCGTGCAAGAAGGGATGGACGTGAAGATGCCCCCAGTCTCAGTCTCCTGTACTCCCTGGCTGTTGCTGGTGCTTTGCCAAAAGGAAATCTGCCACTACAGAACAGGGCCCAGGGAGCACCTCTTTCTGCCCTTGTCGAGATGGTGAAATTACATTAAAGGCCTTGGCCCCAGGCCTGCTCATGCATGCCAGGACTTGTGAATGGCTGAAAAATCCCAGGTATAAATCTTGGCACCCAGACCCTGAGGTAAATTCAATCTGCTTCTCTTACCTCTCTTACAGAGTGCTAGTGAGACCAGAAGAGCCACATCAGAAATATCAGCAAGCGTCTGAATCAGATCTGCTGCAAGCAGTAAGATGGTTTGCTAAAAGGACAGGCTCCGTCCCAGTGGAGGCAAGGGCAAAGCCCCACGGCCACCCCACAGGAGCACAGGCAGCCCCACGCAGCCCAGCCTCACTAAGGTAAGGAGTCTGCAAAGGCACCGTCAAGGAGGTGGTGGTACAGACCCCAAAGAGAAACCATCTCCATGCCAGGAAGCTTGGCCAAGTGGGATCTGCCCATGCCTGCTGCCTGCCAGATTAAGCCAGGGCACTGCCTGTGCCAGCAGGCACAGCTATGGCTGTAACCTGGCAGGGAGTGTCGGGGGGGGAGCAGGGGGGTGCGAGCCTGCCACCTGCACCAGCCCTGCACATGCAGGGACGTGCACCCATCCTCCTCTGGAAACCTGGGTAGGAGGAGGAAGGTATTTTTAGCTTTTTAATTACCAGGCTCCCTGACATGAAGTATCAGTTTGTATTTGCTGCGATAGGAGGAGAACTATTTAAACCAAAAAAACTTTATCCCTGTGCACTGTGCCGGCCAGAGGCTTGCTCCGTGTCTCGGGAGCGTTTGTGACCCCACTGCAGTAACACACCCACAGGTGAGAACAAGGGTCCTTTTCTCACCCTTGCCTGCAGATACCCTTCCCCTCCGCGCCGCACCACGAAACAGTGACCAAAGCCTTTCCACCCACCTGCATTAGCCGTCTGCAGAGCCTCGTCCCGAGCGCCCTTCGCTTTGTTACCCACGGCTCTGGCGGGACACGGGACCAGCCGAGCCCCCCGCCACCAGAGCCCAGGGCTGCGCCCCAGCAGCCCCCCCAGCATCCTGCCCCAGCCACGGCCTCCCCCCCGGCCTGGGAGCACGCGGGGGGACAGGCAGGAGCCCAGAAGGCTGCTTCTAGGAGTTCTTAACATAAAACTACCCCTTCCTACGAGCAGGAAGTAGCGTGCATTTCCACCCTGGCTGCCAACCGTTTTCGCTTGCGTCACGCTGACTAGTTAAATTTATCACCCGTGTTTACCAAAAGGACACACCTCCCGAGCTAGGCAGGCAGAGATCCCGGCCAGCCCAGGCTCTCCATCCCAAGGAGCCGCTCAGGAGAGCAGTGGGTATTTACATTATTTGCTCAGTCCTTACTATGGTAGGACTAAAACGGGACAGCATGCTATATTTCCCCAAAGATAGGCTTAGAAACTGCTAATTATCGCAGCCAGTTAAGCTGTTAGAGTTCTTAATTGTTCTCAGCTAAAAAATAATCTTGCCAATCAGTTGCATTAAATAGACCTTTTGAAGAGGAGCCACATTTCCCCTATCTCTGAATAAATGCGGTTTGGCAGAAGGAAACTAAAGCCAATGTTTGTGGCTACAAATGCAGATGGGGAGTCCATCTCACATCCACACTGAAAACTTTCCTGGCAAAAAAAATAGTTTTAAGATATATTTCAGGTTTAAATCAGTAAACTAACAAATTACGTCAAAAACCTCTGGTGATGTGGTATTTGTCAGTCAGTAAAATTGTCACTGAAATGTAGCAGTACCTATGAAGTATTCGCTTTCTTTGAATTAAGTCTCCATGAAGTCTGGTTAGTGCTGGATATTTTCCATAACATCAGCTGTTCTAACCATAGAATGAACCCAAATCAGTACTATTTTATCACATTAACATTTCTCTTGTGTTTTGCACAAAATTCTCCCTGATGGGTCAGGAAATGGAAATGCAAAATACTTGTCTCATTTGGAGCAGTGGGGTATTTATTCTCCTTAGACATACAAGTATCTAAAGCTGACCGACAACTAAGCAAAAAAAAAAATCCATTTGGAAGGGAAGAAGCAGTTGCCAAAAGGAAAAATTTCAGAACTATTTAGTAATACTATCAAATACAATATTGCAGATAATCAAAGTGTGTCTAAGAGCAAGTGGAGGAACTGCAAGGGAACAGAGCTTGGGATGTTGGCAAGGGTATTCTTTAAGGGCTGAGAGGATGAAAGATGTGAGACAGATGCAGTTCCAGCTACCCAGCTCCTGGCCCCAAGGAAAAACTCCACCATTTATAGAGAGATTTTATATTTTTTGAGAACACAAAGTTATTGATACTGAGGAAAGAAGACATTTGCAGTGATGACAAATGCGGGTTTTCCTCTTTCATGAAATCTCTACAATGCATCTGGACATAACACAATGTGTTTAGCTTAATTTGCTTGTAATTTGGTAAAGCAAATTAGATCAATTTCCAGATTAGGAACCCATATAGAAAATAAATGGTGGTTTGAGTTTCTAGCTACAAATGAGACCTGCAAACAAGCAGGAATCAGTGGATGTGATTATGCTGGAAGAAGCAGAAGGGAAACCTGGTAAAGTTATTTGTATCCTGCTCAGGATTTCCCTGGGGGGAGATGGGCATGAGGAGGAGGAAAGATGCATTTTTAGCGTGAAGTTTATAGGGCTTGGCAGCCCTGAGCACCGCCGCAGGCCCCCTCCTCACCTTGCAGAAATGCTGCTGAGTGGAAAAGAGGCGTTGTACACCTGGACATCCCTCCCTCCCCAGGCTGGGCAGGCAGGAGGGGCTACAGGGCAGCAGACGGGATGTGCTGCCATGATGCTCATGTCACATTTGGAGCCACCCGACCCCCCAGGGGCTCCGGCTGTGCAGAGCATTAGAGCATTTTCACTTCAACAGGCACTCTCCAAAATGCTTATTGCAGAAGCGACCGTCCTTATGTCATGTCCGATTAGGGCTTTGAAGATAAAAATAAAGAACATTATTATTTTATTTCTTAGTTTCTCAAATGCAGAGAAAATCACGGGGTTTTCAGCTTACTCACCTAGGGGTTGCCAGTTGTTTCCTCTAGAAGACACACCAGCTAACAGCTGTATTAATCACATCTGCTGTGAGCAAAAAAAGCACTTCAGGATTTATCATGCCAGCATTTAGAGGTGCAAAGACACAGAGGTCCTCAGGAAACCACAAAGGCAGTTACTTGTTCCTGATTTTTACTCATTTCTCTGGCGCTATGAATGCTTAATGCCAGGGTGAGTTTTACTGCAGTGCATGAAAGCTAATGAAAAGCTATATACACTGGTGCATTAGGAAATCAAGCTTTCCCTTGTGCACTGTGGATCTCTCTCTGGCCCAGAGCAGCTCGAATACCTTCCTGAACCGCAGAGAGATGCAGAATGGACCAAGGTAGCCTTAATGTATGTGCAGCCTGACAGGCTCAGTCCTCCTTAGAGATGTTTTGTGCCTAGCCCAGTACATGCACGTCCATCCCTGCCCAGGTTCCAAAACATCCCTGTGAGGCTCATCCATTCACTCCCCTCACCAATCTGTCACTTGATATACCCATCAGTGACTCATTAGCAGAGTGCAACCATTATTTCGTAACCATTAAGCTCACAGACATGGAGTTTATTTTATAGCAGTAACAACTTGTTCAGAGATGCAGAATTAGCAAAACTAGGCTTAAAACACCATCTTCTCCTCCCACATCCTTCTGCCAGGAGGGGAGCAGGACCCCAGCTCCTCAGCAAGCCCTGGACAATACAGATAAAAACTCTCACACTGACTAGCTCTACAGACATCCCCCGGGCTTCCTCTGACCCTCACTGCAAGGGGAGAGCACAGATCTGAAGGTTTTTGAGTTACAAAGGAGCAGGCTGGCTCAGAGAGAGCAGAGGATGGTTCACAGCTGCGGTGGTGGGTCAGACTCTCAACATTGCTGTTTCCTGCGTGAGAGTGACATGTAGCTGTTACACTTACCGCACACTGGTGCCGACACCGAAGGAGGAAAACGAAACACAAAACCTCACAGGACTCCCTCCTGGTTCTGCATCATCTTCACACCCTTTCTTGCCACTGCGGACTCTGCTCTTGCAGCGGACTCCGCAGTAAAGACTAGCAGCCAGTCATCCTGCCCTCCCTAAACGTACACAAAAGCCTTTGCAGAACCAGAATTGTAAGGCCACAATATAAAATCCATTGCTCTTTGATTTCTGACCAACTTTATACTGTCATTCCCAGTACCTTAATTCTGATTACTCTCAGCCTATCGCAGCAATGAGAAACTTGGACTTGGGTTTTCTTTACCTGTTCTATTTCTGCTTTCAACAGCCACAAGAGTGAAAAAGTTTATTCCTCCAGAAGCCACAGGTTCTCACACATCTCTTTACATCCCCTGGTTACTTTTCATAAGATTGCACAACAAATTTTTTGTCGTATACACAAAAGAATTCATAGGAGTATTCAACCAAAAAAAGTATTACTCTCTAAAGCTGTTTTCATGTGCAGAGTCCTCAAAACCAAATGGCTCTGTTTTGCATGCCATGCAAAATTTTTACATGAGGGCTGTGAGGAAGAGCAGAAGATAATCTTATCTTAAAATTCTTTGTCTTCCCCCCAACTAATTAAATATGCAGCAGAGCTCTGTCTTGGTTCCTAGACGAGATAAACAAGCAACACTGGATGGGCTCGTGGCTCATGAAATTCTAAGTGAGCCAGGAAATACTCCTCCATGCAACTGTGTATTCTACAGCAGTACAATTTAACACAGCAAGAGCAATGAATTGCTTTGAAATGTCTCACTTACCTGCAGACTCCCAGCCCAATAACCTGTCCCTCCTCTACAGGGTCCCCAGGAAGCAGCACTCCCATGGCTTCTGTTCTCTCCAAGAGGCGAGTCACATCCTCCCCATATCAGCAAATTGGCTACCCTAAGGAAAGTCAAATGCAAATCCCAAGAAACTACAAGCTCCTTAACTATTTCTCATCATGGCCAAGTCAAATCAAGGGAACAGTCACAACATCTTACAGCAAAACCAGACTCGGAGGGTTTGATAAAGAGCTCTGAAAACAAGCACCGGTATGAGTCTCTATCCATTTCAGGACACTCAGATTAATTTTTTTTATAATCGCACGTGTAACCAATAAAACAAGGCATTTACTAAAAGAGAGCAGTGACAATGAAGGAGTTTCTCCCATCTCTCTGTATTAAACTTCAGCTTTGCTTTAAATAAAAAATTAAATCAGGATTCCTCTATCCAGTTACTGAAAGGTCCTGCATTTTCTACCAGTATTGTCCCTATTCCTCTGAATTTGATAGCGTCACTACCTTTTGAAAAATTTTGCCTAGCAACCATAAATAAGCACTAAGCCATACTACTAAAAAGAAAAAGTCAAACCCACAAACTTCCCTGACTCTGGTAAATATTGCCTAATTTACACCATGTGAGCCTTTTGACATCAGTCTCTTAACAGGGAAAGGTCACTGATGTAACACACATGGCATTTTCTACAACAGGAGCAGCCAGTTCCCCCAGGTGAAAAAGATCTGAGCCGTTCTCTGTGTCTGCCACTAACACAAAATTCAGCAGGATTTGGCCCTGAGTGTGTCCAATCTGAGCAGAAGTACCTGACATTGCAAGGGTAAGGATCTCTAAACGATCCTTATCGAAGAAGATTCATCTTCTCTGCCGTTAAGCACATTCAGCTTTAAGAGAGTTAAACCCCAATTAACAGCCTGGATGTTTTGCTGCTTAAACTGTGTTCACCCCTGGAACAGCATCAGAACCCACTCCTACCTCTCCTGATGGAAATGCCAACAAACAAGGGACATTGCTGTAGCCAAGAGGGCCCATAAGCCAATCTTGCTTTGTTCCCTTCCATGAGCTCCAGGTTTTTAGCTAAGATGAAATATAATATTTGTTGGACACAGCACTGCAGTTGTGAATTGTCTTAACAAGAGTCAAATTCAGTGGAACTTGCGAGCTGGACCTAGAGTTGCTAACCTCTGCAAACAAATATTAAAACGGGATGTGGGCTGGGTCTGACGTGCCCTTGGTACAAAGTGCAGGGTTTATAACAGCTGGTGTCAGAAGGACAAAGCTCACGGCAGCGAAACAAAAGTTAGTCATTGCGCTGGCGAAGCCCCAGTATGACCTTCCCCAGAGTTTGGGATGATCATACAGAGGC